CATTTTCTCATAAAATAAAATATAAGCTTGTTTTTGAAGGCATTTCTGAAGGCCGGTGATGGTTACCTACACAGAAAAAAATTGCTTGCTGTAGAACAATGCGTAAGGGTGAATATCATGAAATGGCAAAATAGACATACAATGTTATCATTGAAACACCTGAACATCTGGTCTGCACAGTGCAACACAGTTATGTAATGCCCTTCACCAGAAGCTTTTCCTTTGTGTACCACAGCTGAAATTAATGCATATTTTGTCCCAAAAAGAGTCAGTGTGGGATTACACTTTACTAAAACATTATTTTTTGTAAATCCCATATGAATATGAAGAAACGCAAATGTTCCATAGTTTTCGAGGGGTGGATAACTCCCCTGACATATGTACAGTACACCCCTAATTCAACATAATTCAACATAATATTCAGGAGTAATTCAAACGAATTCAAAAATAATTCAACTAATTCAGTCCAAATTAAGGCAATATACATTCAATTCAAGCCAATTCAAACAAATTTACGCTAATTCAGTAAAATAAAAGCACAATAATTCAAACCAATTCTAAAACAACTCAAACCAATTCAGTTCCATTCAAATTAAATGCAAGACAATTCAAATTCAATACTTTAAATTTGTACACCCAATTCAGGAGTTATATACCCACTCGAAGATTATTTTGTTGATTCTTCGACTAGTTTTTGTTTATTGATAAGTAAGTACTTCTTTAAATGAAGGATCAAAACTTCTGGAGGATTGATCAATTTTAGAGTCGTTGTAGCTTTTTCACACCTGTGGCACTGAATGAACTTGTAGTCCGGGAACGTCTCAGGATTAAAATACTCAGATAAACTAGTAGCGAGTACAGGGCGGACGCTCAATGAGAAGTCTCGAACTGCACCATTGGTAGTGGATTCCCTCTTGCACACATTGCAAGTAACTGCAGAAATATTATTTTCAGAAAGGTTTGTGAAACATAGTAAACTGAAGTTAACTCAGTTCGTACTAACATATTGAGGAGTGGTATTAAATATTTCCTTTATAGGGGACTTGGGGACTTGGTATTAAGGGACCTGAAACTGAAGTGTCTGTCCAGATGGTCTAGTAGCTCAATTAAAAACTCGTAGCAGTCCTGTTGCCTCCTAATATGACATTCAGGCCAGAAATCTATTAGACCAGGACAAATGTCAATAGTATGAGTGCAGAAGGTACACCGGAAATTCAAAGAAAATAGGCCAGCAGGAAACGTTTCACACACCAGAAACAGACTGAATCAGTGAACTTTAGTTGACTTTACAGAGGAGGAGAGCAAGCCATGCCACCATAATTGGCTTTGACGCACTACTTGGTGGCTTTTAGTCTTGGGATCCTACAAATAGAACATAAATCAGTACGCCAGACCACGTCTCGCAGGCTTCGTGATATCTCGGGAAATACTGTTACGCTGCGACGCGCCTGGCATACATCTATCTAGGCCTGCGACGTTGACACCTGAGTCGGGCAAAAGACAGAGTCGTAAATAAATCTTCCGCCCCAGAAGTCACAAATTCTTCTCTCCAGATAGAGCCAAACGGACGAAATTTTCCCCCAAAGACTCTACTTTGATGAGATACCCCTTAGGAAACTATAAGAAAAATATTTTTTTTTTAAAAAAAAACCTCATTTGTAGGTCCTGTGGTTTTTGATTTTTTTAAATACAATTTTTGAGCTAGAATGAATGCTCTTCTTCGAACTCGAAGCCCAAAAATTAGGAACTCCTAAATGGCCTGTTTGCCGAAGATCATCCTTTCGAGTCTCACATGAGAGTTTGGAGAAAAGCTCAATGGTACACGTAAAAGTCAACTGCAACGAAAACTCCCTTGTCCCTAGTGCAAAGCGCGCATGGCACTCAAGCGCTGGCGAAACCACGCTACTTCTTGGAGCCCCCGTCAAACCAAGCACAGCAGCGCTAGCACGCTAGCGAAACCAAGTATCAATGTTTTTCGAACATTTTGAGATAACTATATATTCTGGAAAAAGAAAGCGTCCTCTCTCCAACTGTACCAATAATCACCCCAAAAATGGAGTTGTGTGGTTTTTCCAGCGCCGAAAGCCGTGCGTGCTTTGCAATAGGGACCAGCGAAATATTTCATGTCGGACATACTTAAGTTTATCCTAAAATCGTGTTTCCGAAATGTTACAGGAAATATATACAGGAAGAAACATGTCGTTCGACTACGATTTCATTTCATCCGCTCTTGGCGTCCCGAATGCAGCTGGTATTTGGGGCTTAAAAGCTTTTTTACGTGATGAATATGGTCTTGTTCACGTTTGCTTTGATATTTATATAGAATTAATTAAAATAAGACGAAAACATTATTCCTTGATCTTTTTAACAGTCTTATCGCCTATTTCTTCTAAAAGACTTGTGCTCTCCCAACCACCTCGCTCTTTCCCACCTCCAGACACTCATCTAAATTCGTTCGGCAGATATTATCGTGCCTGCAGCACTTTTCAACCTTGGGGTCGCGACGCGACCCCAAATGGGGAAATTTTTTTGTGGGGTCGCGGTGAGGTGCCTGGGGTTGCCTGGGGTCGCCTTGGGTCGTGGCTTGGCAGAAGCGACATTTTCTAACTTGACATACATCAAGAACAAACACAGAAATCAACTCGTCCAGTCTTTCAACTGGTCCAGTTTTTCATCTGGTCCAGTCTTTCAACTGGTCTAGTCTTTCATCTGGTCCAGTCTTGCGACTGGTCTAGGGCTCTCAAAACCCGGACCCGCGGGTACCCGGGTCACCCGGGTACGGACCTGGTCCGACGGGTAGACCCGGGTTACCAGGGTACCCGGGTACTACCCAAAAACCCGTAGACCCGGGTATCCGGGTCTCCGGGTAATACCCGCAGAACCGCGGGAATCGGGTCCGCCACCAGAATCGTAGAAAAAAATGTGTGATGCAGCCCTAATAATGTATAGGGCCTAATTCAATTACGCCTGGACTTTCAGAGGTAAATTTTTGTGCTGAATCCGAATCCGTCGAAAAAATTTGACGGATAACATGTCTTACCGGCCATTCTGGCCAAAGAGTCCTCCATATGTAGTACCTAATAAAATAAAATTTTCTTGGCCGATGTAGACGATTGTCTTCCAATTTGAAAATGTTCTGGTTTTCGATTTTAGGTCGATTTTTAACTTATTTAAGATATACATTACACGGAATATCGAGATTCGGCCATTTCGGGTCCGGTCCGTTTTCGTCTCCTACACTTCCTTTATCGCCGATTTGACATAGAACGCTTTGAGCTACAGCACTGATTTGGAATCCTGAGAAAATTTCGCATCGGCAAAATTTAGTGACCGTTCAAAAAGAGCGCTCCGCCGCTCGCATCCAGGACCCGGGTAACCCGGGTTGACCCGAAGAACCGGGGACCCGGGTACCCGGTTCTGCGGTTCCATTTCGGGTACCCGGGTACCCGGGTAATACCCGCGGAACCGGCTCTACCCGCGGACCCGGGTATACCCCGGGCGGGCGGGTACCCGGGTTAGCCGGTTCTTCGGGTTAAAGTGAGAGCCCTAGTGTCCTGTCAGTTGAAATGTGTCAAATACCTTAAATATATTCTACATGCGCCATGGCACCTTACGGCAGGGCGAGTAGGCAAACCTGCTAATGTGTAACTACAGAAGTGCGCGGGGTTCACCCAGCTAGCAGAGCTGCATAAAATGTGCACTTTGTGTCCAATCTATAAAACGCCTAAAACGCGTGTAGGCGCCTAATATGCGCGTACATGCGCTACCGCACGACTGACCGCACGCAGGAGAGCGTACGTAGTTGTTTTTTAGCCCGCCCTTCTGCTTTGAAAAAGCTATCCAGCGGGCTTATGCGAACGACCTCGTGTCTGTGTGTCTGTCTGTGTGTCTGTCTGTTCCACTAGAAGGAGATGTGCTAGAGACTTCAAATTTTCAGGGTATCTTCGGGTTCACTCCTAGAAAACGAGACGCCTACGGCAAATCCTGGCAACCAACCCTAAGGGGCTGAAAGGGGGTATCAAAGAAAAGGGCGTAGGTCAAAAAAGTCAGAAAAAAAAAATATTTTTTTATGAGCTCCTAAAGTGTAACTAGTGAAAGTAGAGTACTGCGGACGAAAATTTTGTCCGTTTTGCTCTATCTCTCACCGTTTAGGCGCTAGAGGGAGTTTCTATCACGAAAGTGGCCAAAAAATAAACATATTAATTTTAAAAAAAATTACAGGGTCTCCTAAGAGGTAACTTGCAAAAGTAGAGCCCTTTGGGCGAAAATTTCGTCTGTTTGGCTCTATCTCTAACCGTTTCGGCGCTAGAGGGTCTTGTTTGACGAAAATAAGTTAAAAATTGCTGCAGTGAACAATTAAATGTAAAAGAAGGCCCAAAAACGCAAAAGAGGTAAGAAACTCCCTCCCCCCTCCCCAAAAAACGTTTTCTGAGCAGAAGGGTGGGTTGTAGTCGCGGTGTTTCACCGTTACATCCCTTTCTCGTGTCTACGGGGCAAATTTTAAGGACGACGGGCTTTGCGGGCCGAAGGCCCGTTACATCATGTGATTATGTTCTACAGCAAATCGCGTGACGGAAATGGTCGGGCCGCAGGCCCGACCATCGCCGCCGGTAGGCCAAGCATGCCTGGCCCCTGCCGAACGGAGTTGCCGGCGCAGCGAAGCGAAGCTGGCAACTTCGTTTGGCGGAAGGGCGGACCTGCCTGTTTCTGTTTCGAAAAGATTTGAGTCAAGCTTGAGGGGGGGGGGGGAAGGATATTGTTCGTTTTCCTACTGTGCACACATGCCAAAAGTGGTGCTTCGACGTTTGATGCCCGCCACTTGATGTTTTTTAATTTTTCCAACACTGTTAAAAAAGTTGTGAAATTTCACATCAAAATCAGTT